TAGTAAAAAATAAATACACTTTAGCGACTACCCTGATAGAAAGAAATATAATATGTTATCAAATGAGAAAATATATGATAACCCTTATCCTAGACTGATCCCAATTTTTAAAAAAATGTGTTTGAGCCATTGGAAAAAAAATGTAAGGAACTATTCCAAGTGTTTACTAAGGTTAATTCTGAGTATTCATCTTACATGTAAAATTTCCAAATATTCTGCAACGAGAACATATTGTTTTATAGTAGGAATAAAAGGTAATATAAGTTAAAATCTCCCCGTTTTGTATCATAGCTAAGTAGTTTACAGAGGAGCCCATTGAGATGGCTTTTTTTGGAGAGAGGTCTTTTACTCAGGTAGGAATGGTATAATCTGTCCCCAAGGGCCACTTTGCTTCTTGATGGCTTTCTTAGAACTCTCTATATAGACCATGCTGTCTTCCAGTTTGTAGCAATCCTCCTGCCTCTGTGATTGCAATTATGAGCATCAAGACAGACTTTCAATGTGGAGAGGGTGTAGGACTCACACAGAGGAGATCATAATTTGAAATCAAACTTAGGTCTCAGAGGGCAATGAGTCCCCTCCATCAGGGAACATGGTGCCTTCAGGTCCTCGAATAGGAGGTGAGTGACAGGCTAAAGTGGAAGACAAAGTGTAAGCATAAGACAACTTCTGCAAGGGGTGAACCTGCAGCAGGATGAGGGAGCAGGGCTCAGCTCGGGGCTTCTGGCTTGCTGGACTCTGTGTTAGTGGTGAGTGTTGGTCCACCTTCCAAACTCTCCAGCTTCCATTTGACTGCAAAGTGTGAGGCGCAGCTAAACCAATGCTTTCCTCTCTCTGTTGAGTGGGAAACAAGCTTGGCTGTTGGCGGGCTGCCAGGAGACCTGGCCAACTCTCTGATAAGGATCTGTGTGCATTTTCAGGCACCACTGTGCACAATCGTGGGTGGTGGAGGCCCCCCACCCCCCACCCCCAGGTTGTCCCTTGCAGAGGCTCTGGCATTAATCCTTAATTTTCTTCACTGTTAGATCAGGGCTGCGATGGCTTCCCTCCCAGCCTCTCACACTGGTGATAAGAGGTCCATTGTTCGGTAGCAAAGGAGTCTTTGGATGTTAAAGCCTTAATGTCTGCACTCTGATGCGCCAGTAAACTTCGTTCTCTCTAGGAGGTGCTTCCACGAGGAACAGGGAGGAGGGAACAAAACTCTGTGATACTGCCCATGCCCTCTGACTAACGATGCCACCAGCTGCCTGCTCTGTCCCCAGCTGAGGTTCCCACCACTGTGATCTCCAAGACCCAATAGAATGAGCTGTCCTTCTGCTCGGTCTACCACTGCCAGCCAGGTAAACATGCAGTCTGCAAATGCAGTTACTCTGTAACAAGATGATTTGCATGTCTGGACAAAGAGCCTGCTGTCCTAGAGCTGGGTCTACCTGGAGACAGGAAGTGGCCCCAGACTAGTCATCCTGCCAGGGAGGTGAGGCCCCTCATCAGGGAGCTCAGTGGTGGTGTTTGTGGGTTGTTGGGAAAGCATCACTGTGGCTAAAGTCCAAGCTACACTGTTTTGTCAGTGAGCTGCCACTTTGATTCTGCTCCTCGAGGCCAAATCCCCCAGCTGCTCACAGCAGATAAGACAGCTAGAAACCCTGAGGAGGATAGGTATTGGAGAGACGGGCACACAGGGCCAGCTGGTTCCCAGGCCTCCCAAACTGCTACTGGACAGTTGGAAATTCCTCTTGCTTGAGTAACATTTGGGATGTGATTTTTTTTTTTAAAGCGATGTGTTCGTTTAAGTAAAAATCTCACTCTAACAAAATGACAGAAGGATTATATGCATTGTTGTTTATTAGTGATAATTAGTTTTTGTGATTTAACTGTTTGCATTCCAATCCATGATCAAAATCAGCCTGACTATGCAGTTCATGAGTTTTACTCTAACTCTGAGAAAACAGTGTTCACTTCCTAGGATGCCCTGAGCAGAAGTGCACCTCCATGCTCAGCTGGTCAAAACCATTCTTTTTGTGATGCTGAGACAGGGTCTCAGTCCTACCTAGTCTTGGCTAGCCAGGAGCTCACTGTGTAGACCAGACTGGCCTTGACTTTGTAATGATCTTCCTCCTTCAGCTTCCTGACTGTTAGGATTACAGACATTAGCTATCATGTCCAGCTAGTAGGGATATTCTATACCTCTTGCCTTTATGCATGTTCCTGTCCACAGTGTTCTTTTTTCTTAAAATGCCTTTTCCCCTTATTCAGCAAACAAACTCCTACTGACCCTTCAAAACCCCCCTTAAAACCTCCCTTATAACCATATAAAGCTATACCTTGCTGTGTGCTTGCTTGGTTTTGGCAAGCTCTCCGTCATTCCACTCACTAGATTGAATTAGGTTCAGTTCTTTCTCCCCGGCAAAACTACACTGTGGTTCTTATTTTTAACACTCTGTACAATGACTTAAAATTATATCTTGAAAAGAATGGAGAAAGCCTGTTCCCTCACCGAGAAGAGAAATCTCTAACTATAGAATTGAATGAGGTTGGTTTGATTTTTTTTTTTTTTAAAGACATGCAATTGGGCCTAACATGTTCAAACAACTTTCTCAACTCTTTCTGTGAATTAAGTTACAAGCTTTTCTGGGAAAGGGAGAAAAGTTGAACAGAAATAATAATAATAATATAAAAAAACTGGATCATAAAATGGAAGTGTAAGACATGCCTCAGAGTAAGGAGAAACAGGCTATGAATTTAGGGCTCTGGAGTAAGGAGAGGGGAGGGAGGCAGGAACAGTGGTGGGGTCCCTTGCACCCCATGATTACAGTCAAATAGGAGAGCCCTCTTTCTCAAGAGCTGATTGCCTTCGAGGTCTAGAGGGACCCAGCTATATGAGACTTGTCTGAGACAGCGGGATGCCTCCGTCACCTTCCCTAAGAACCCAGCTTCTGTCTGGTTTTACAAATTCCCAGTATTTGGTTTGGGTTTGCTCCTAAGAACTTAGACTATCCATCTTTGTATGAGAAATTTCATTTTGTGAGCGTTCGAAGCCTGAGCTGTCCTACAGTGTGGTCATTTGTCACTTGCTCCTATTCAGCACAGGAAGTGTGGTTCATCTGCTAAGGTAGACAGTACCTTATGGGAAACACATCCTTTTTTTCATTTTTAATTTCATATTGGATATACGATGAATATGATATTTTAAACTCATTGGGTTAAATAAAATAGAGCAACAGAATAAATTTCCCTGGCTTATTTTTACTTCTTTAAAAAATATTTATTTAATTTTACTTGGATGAGTGTTTTGCTTGTAGGTAGGTATGTACGTACGTACGTACGTATGTATGTATGTATGTATGTATGTATGTATGTATGTATGTATGTATGTGTATGTACCGCCTGCATGTCTGTATCTGCAGAGGTCACAAGAAGGCATCAGATTCCCCCATTTGGATGCTTGTAAACCACTGTGTAGGTGCTGGGAATTGAACTTGGGTCTTCTGTAAGAGCAGTAAGTTTCTAGCCACTGAGCCATCTCTCTAGCCCCTGTTTATTCACTTTATTTTGTGTTTGTGAGTGGTTTGTTTACTTTTTGCCTGCATGTATGTTTGTGTACCATATGCCAAGTGTCCTTGGAGGTCAGAATAGGGTGTTGGATCCCTCAAAACTAAAGTTACAGGTTGTGTAGGTGCACCCATGTGGGTGCTGGGTATAGAACCTGGGTCCCCTGCAAGAGCAGGATGTGCTCTTAGCCACTGAGCGATCTCTCCAGCCTCTGTACTTTCTTGCCACAATGTCAGGGTTATGATTTGTAGCTCTCTCTTTTATTTTATTTCTCTCTATGTGTATTCACAGGCGTGCAGGCACACATGTATGTGGGTAGGTGTATTTGTGGAGGTCTGAAGTCAATCTTGAGTGTTGTTCCTCAGGTGTTTTGCACTTTAAAAAAAAAATAGGATCACTTACTGGCATGGAACTTGCCACTTAGACTAGGCTGGCAGGTCAGAAAGCTCTAAAGATTTCTCCATCTCTGTCTTCCCAGTGCTGAGATTACAAATGTGTGCCACCATACCTAGCTCTTAAAAGTACATATTCTTGATATGGATGTCTCCTCAGAGGTCTTCAAGAGTCTGACATATTCAGAGGCAGATGCTCACAACTAGCCATTGAAGTGATCATGGGGTTCTCAATGGAGGAGTTAGAGTGAAGACTGAAGGAGCTGAAAGGATTTGTGGCCCCATGAGGAGAGCAACAATACCAACCAACCACAGCTCCCAGGGTCTAAACCACCAGCCTGGGAGCACTTATGGAGGGATCCAGGGCCTTAGCTGAATATATAAGAGTGGAGGGCCCTGCTGGGCACAGATGGAAGATGAGATCCTTGACCCCATGAAGGCTGGACGCCCCAGGGGGTGGGAGTTTTGAGGGTGGGGAGGTGGGAGTGGGGGGGTAGATAGAGGTTACATCCACAAAGAAGAAGGAGGAGGTGTGAGGGGATTGGGGGTTCCTGGGTGGGTGGGGGATGGGGTAAGGGGACAACATATGAAATGTAAATAAAACATCCAATAAAAAAAAAAAGTACATATTCTTATGTGTATAACTTCTTGTCTGTGTGCGTACGTATGTACCACAAGTACATGGTGTCCACACAAGCCAGAGGAGGACGCCATATGTACCAGCACTGGGACTACAGACTATGAGTCTCTGTATGGATACTGAGAACTAAACCCAGGTCCTCTGCAGGAGAAGCAAGTGCTCTTAACCACTGAACCATCTCTCCAGGCCCACACATCTAGGTTTTTTGTTGTTGTTATTGTTTATTTGTTTGCTTTTAAAATGTGGGTTTAGGGGATCCAACTCAGTTTCTTGTGCCTGCAAAGGCCACACTTTCCTAACTGAGCCACCTCCCACCCCCGGCTGTCTCTTCTATTGCAATTCTTGAAGTTTTCATTCGTTTTGTTTGTTTGACTTATCTACAGAAAATGACCTGACGTGGCCCAGCGCAAGAAATCCTCATGGACCAGTCAAATATGACATCCCTTGCTGAGGAGAAAGCCATGAATACCTCCAGCAGAAATGCCTCCCTGGGGAGCTCGCCCCCACCCATTCCCATAGTGCACTGGGTCATCATGAGTATCTCCCCTCTGGGCTTTGTGGAGAACGGGATCCTCCTCTGGTTCCTCTGCTTCCGGATGAGGAGAAACCCCTTCACAGTCTACATCACCCACTTGTCCATAGCTGACATCTCCCTCCTGTTCTGTATTTTTATTCTATCCATTGACTACGCTTTAGACTATGAACTGTCTTCTGGTCATTACTACACAATCGTGACGTTATCGGTGACTTTTCTATTTGGCTACAACACGGGCCTCTATCTGCTGACGGCTATCAGTGTGGAGAGGTGCCTGTCGGTCCTCTACCCCATCTGGTACAGATGCCACCGCCCCAAGCACCAGTCGGCATTCGTCTGTGCTCTCCTGTGGGCACTTTCGTGCTTGGTGACCACCATGGAGTATGTCATGTGTATCGACAGCGAAGAAGAGAGTCACTCTCGGAGCGACTGCCGGGCGGTCATCATCTTCATAGCCATCCTCAGCTTCTTGGTCTTCACTCCGCTCATGTTAGTGTCCAGCACTATCTTGGTGGTGAAGATCCGGAAGAACACGTGGGCCTCCCATTCGTCAAAGCTGTACATGGTCATCATGGTCACCATTATCATATTCCTCATCTTCGCCATGCCCATGCGGGTCCTCTATCTGCTGTACTACGAGTACTGGTCGGCCTTTGGGAACCTCCATAACATCTCCTTGCTTTTCTCCACCATCAACAGCAGCGCCAACCCTTTCATCTACTTTTTTGTGGGCAGCAGTAAGAAGAAGCGCTTCAGGGAGTCCTTAAAAGTAGTCCTGACCAGGGCTTTCAAAGACGAAATGCAACCCAGGCGCCCGGAGGGCAACGGCAACACTGTATCCATTGAGACCGTGGTCTGAGGAGGGCAACAGCAACACTGTATCCATTGAGATCGTGGTCTGAGGACAGCAGGGAGGATTGTGGACAGAAACAGTGGAATGCGGGTAGCTTTCAACTTGTGCTTGGGGTGCACTCTAAGTCCATTTAAGTCTCCTAAATATGATATGGAGGGAAGCAGTCTACATGCATGGGGGTCTAATCAATGATGAGCTTGTATTGTTACCTAGTATCTTCTGGAAATGCTTCCATACTTGATGGGGCTCTGTCTTTTCTATTGTTATCAAAGACTCACTCTTCTCTTAGCTGTCTGGTAGTGATCAACAGTGAACTATAAAAACTGCTCTAGCAGGAATCATCCCAGATGTGACCTGGAGAACCTGGGGGAGGCCGTGCAATGACTGCTGTGTGCTCCTGTGTGACCTCAGGCAAGTGGCTTCGGGGAGCCTGATTTCCTCCTTTAGTCGAAAAAGTGACAGTCTGTACTGCTCAGGTTATTGTCCACTGTGATGAGGTAGACAAAGCTCCCAGCTCATTGTCAAAGTCAATAAATATTCGTCTCTCCCCATCCTTTAGCTAGAACACAAAGTGCTTATACAAATATTGCCTTGTGTTTGTAAACCTCGAATGTAGATCCCCAAAGGTCTTTTGGCTTGTAGCACGAAAGCCTTTTGTGGTCTAACACCTCTGCTGAAACATCAGCAATTGTTACAATCAAGGCAACCACATATTGGGACATCACTTTAAATTCTGGAAACAACCATGTGTTCTCTCTTGGAAGAGTTTCCCATGGCTTTTCCTTTCCCTGGGGAATAACACATGGAGTGGAAGCCTATACTTGGAAGTCTTTTCACTGCATATACAATTTCACAGATGCAACTTAATTCAGGAGTTTCTGAGGACTACTGTGCTCTTGTCCCCCCCAGAGCGAGGGGCTATCTATAGCTAGGATATTCTTGCCTGAAGCTTCATGCACATCTCTGCACCTGATGCCTCTTATTCCTGAGGCTCTGTGTGCGTGTGTGCACATGCTCACACATGTACTCATGCTGGGCTTACATATGTGTGAGTGTGTGTCTGCATATGTGGAGGGTGTGCGTGCACGTATGTGAGTGTGCATGTTGTGCTCACGGCTGGACAGGGAATCTTCATCCACCGCTTTCCACTTTATTCATGGAGACCGTCTCTCTCAGTCGAATCCAGAGTCACCAAGTGGGATAGCTCAACGTCCTAGCTTGCCTTGAGGAGTTTTGTTTCTACCTTCCAAAGCAGGGCTTACAGACAGGCTACCACACTCAGTCAGCATTTGTGTGGGTACCATGGAATCCAGATTCTGGTTCTCACCCTTGCATGGCAAGTGTTTTGCTACAGATGCCAGGCTGTTTTGTCTCTTCATTCTGAGAAGGAGGCTCCTGGTGAGAGCTAATAGGATACCAGCACATCTTGAAGGGATGGATGCTTTCCCCCAAGACTGACCTCTGAAGGGCCTTTCCACTCAGAACTGGTTCAGGCAAGCTGTTTTCTGCCCGCTCTGAGTTGCCATTCCCAGACCATGCATCTTGGATTTTGACTGAATGCTGTCTTAGGCTATAGACGAATACAATGGGGTGCCAATTTCCCAACATTCCCTCTGGGAGTCTCACAGAGATGGCAGGGCTTGCTGGAGTTCTTCAAGCAGGCAAATGTTCAAATCCATAAATGAGCCACTGTTTGTGCTCCTGGAAGCCAGAAGATCTCTGGAGAAGCAAGTTTTTCCCGCTACCCTCTCCACCCCGTTTCTTTCTCAGGAGCAATAACAACAGTCACATAGTGCTGCTTTGCTGGAGAAGAGCTGTGAATCTCTCCCACTGAGCTGAGACCCTGCTGCTAGCCAAATTGGATGCAGGAGACTTTTCAGTGGGTGATGACATCTGATTCAGAAGCAAGGCAGCTTGTGTTCGGGAGTCCAGATGGGGTGTAGAGTGGTGACATTTACAATGATCTTGTTTTCAGTTGGAAGCGGAGTTTCTGTACTAGGGAAGAGTGGAATATACCACATAGCATGGCTCCCCTCTGATTCTGCCATCTCTCGGATGTCATGTACCGGGGCTCTGTGCCAGTGGCAGGGAGGGGGTCAGCCTCATCACATCCCAAAAGGGATTCTGTTACCCAGCTTTCTGTCACTATGACAAATACCTGGGATAAACCAGTTTATGAGAAGGATCTATGTTGTCTCATTGCTTCAGAATTTCAGCCCACAGTCACCTGTCCCTGTCCCTTTAAGTCTGTAGTACCGTAAGACATCACGGCAGGAGCAGGTGGTAGAGAAGGGTTGCTCACCACCATTCCAGTATTCCCCATTCCAGGGCAAGCCTCCAATGCTCTAACTTCCTTCCCCTAAGTCCCACCCACTAAAGGTAAGGACCAAAAGTCCCAGCATCTCTCAATGGAGTCACACACTTGTGGCCAAGCCATGAGGAACACAGGGTTTTGTGGACGCTGTCAAACCACAGAGCCCTCAAGGGAAACACTGTAAGCTGATCAGAAGGCAGAATATATGTCCTTCCTGCAGATGAGGTAAGGAAACTGAATGGACTAATGTGTTTGAACATTCCACAAGTTCTCAACAAGCGATGCTTTGTAAAGAGGCAGGATTTGATTTTCTATTTGTTGTTGTTTGTTTCGTTGTTTTCCTGGAACTCACTCTGAAGACCAGGCTGGCTTTGAACTCAGAGATCTGCCTGCCTCTGCCTCCCAAGTGCATGGATTAAAGGCATGTGCCACCACTGCCTGGTAGAATTCTCTATTTTTAGAGATGAATTTCTCTCTTTCCCTTTAAGTCTATTCTCAAAGTAAACAATAGATTAAAATTAGGGCCGGAAACATGGATCAACAGATGGAAACCAAACCCAATGACCTGAGTTCGAGTCCCAGGACCCACATGGTAGAAGGAGAAAATCAAATCCTGAAAGATGTGGTATGTGTGCCCTTCCCCACATATACATGTGAGTGAGTGTGTGTGTGTGTGTGCACATACATGCAATAAATAAATATAATAAAAAATTAAAAAACCCAACCCGGTGTGGTGGCTCATGCCCACAACCTCAGCACTTGTGCAAATGAGAGAGGGGGATTGCTGTAGACTAAGCTACATGGTAACTTTCAGGCCAGCCTGGGCTATGCTACTTATAGTATAAGATCCTGATTCAAAAAAGGTCAAAGTGGATGGCAAAGGTCAATCAATGCTAGCCTCAGCTAAACAGGCAATTTAAGGGGAGTGTGAGCTACATTTGATCTTGTCTCAACAATATAACAAAAGGGTCAAATGTCATGGCGAAGCCCGCAATCCCAGCACTGAAGAGGATGAGTTGGAGGAGCACCAGGAGTTAAGGGCAGTCTAAACTTGGAGGAGCATTATACATTAACAGTCAGTTTGGGCTTTCTAGCAAGATCCTGTCTCAAAACAGAAAAAAAACAACAAACCAACTAAAAATAAATAAGAACTGAAATGATAATAAATACATTTGCAAGCATAAAGAGAAAAAGAATAATTTCTACCCACTGGGCTTCTAGGCAATTTGCCCATATCACTTAGAGTCATTCCTAAGAAATTCTGGGGATAAGGAGGGGGACAGGCAGACGATGCCTGTTGAGGCCAGGCATGAGGCATATTAGTTACTCTTCTACTGCTGGGATGAAACACCATGACTAAGGCAACTTATAGAAGGAAGGTTTATTTGGGTTTATGGTACCAACAGGATGAAAGTCCAAAGTCCATCACCGTCATGGCAGAGAAATGTGGCAGCCTGCAGGCATGGTGCCTGGAGCTAGAAGCTGAAGGCTGAGGGTGGACATCTTGAAGGAATGCAGAGAGAATGCACTGGAAATGGCAGTCTTTGACTCTCAAAGCCCACCCTCAGTGACATACCTCTTCTAGCAAGGCCACACCTCCTAAGCCTCCCCAGAGCCCCCAACTGAGGACTCAGCAACTGAGGACCAGAGACCAAGGTGATAGTTCACAATCTAACAACCGCAGACCTGTAACACCAGCACTTCCTAGATGGATGGAGGAAGATCAGGAGTTCAAGGCCAACACTGGTTACATACTGAGTTTGAAGTCAACCTGGGTTGCCTGAGACCCTTCTTTTAAAAGCCAAATGACAACAGTACCCTTTCTTGACGAAAGAAATGGGTTTCTAGCCTCCATACCCTTCTCTGGAAACTGTTTTCTGGGACGTGATCCATGTCACACTCATATGAATGAGCCAGGTCTTCTGCAAGAAGAGCAAGCACTCCTCCTTGCCAGGCCATCTCTCCAGCTCTGAAGGAAACATTTCCTGTAGTGAGTTGGCTGTGCATATAGTTCCAATTTTATTCTTTTGGGTCATTTTTATTCAGTCATACAAAACTATGTTCTCTCTGTTCTGAAGGATGAAGGGACTGAAATAGTCGTGCATAAGACATTTTTTTTGGTGTGTATTTAGAAGCATAAAGATTCCACATGTGGATCTTGGGCTCAGTGTGAATCAAATTTAGTTGGTAACAAATTCAAAACCCAAACACTTCCAATACTGGGCCGATTCAGACTTGCAAACTCTGTCCCTTCCCCACCCTAGGTAGAGAATGGAAGCCTTGTCCCGACCAAGCGGCTGCATAAACGGCTCAGGAGCTCAGCTGCAAAGGTCAATCCTCACCACGCTGATTTATTGGTGTGTGCTCTTGGTCAAAACCCAACTCTTAGAATGGTTCTCTGTTAGGCAAATGGAGAATGTGAAAATAGTCCCTAAAGCGTGTACCGCAAAGCAGTGGCTCTGTGAAACACTGAAACCCATCGGGCCTCTTCATGCTGCTGGGCTGTGTGCTTCGGTGTTTCCAGGAATCAAGCAGAACCACTGAGCATGCCAGTCTCCTCTCATGAAGGAAATATAAAGAAGAGTCAGAGGACAAAGTCAGTCTGGTGGGAGTATATGTTGGTCTTCTATGTCGGCCTTGCTCTCTGAGAGCATTGTCTAAGGAGGTGATGATTACCATCTCCACACCCCAC